AAAGGTTGGATAATCAAAGGCGACTGGGGGAGTATGAATCAAGCACCGAGCGAGTGCAGATCTCGGGGATTAAGTTGGGATTTTGATTGTTAGTCTTGGGAAGTGAATAAAGTGTTAAGTGAAGTGTTGCCTTATCATTACACACAGTGGGTCAGCACAAATACTATCTTTTGAAATTATTTTATCGCATACTGAGTAATTCAGCGAAGCGTGGCCAAAGTAATATTTTTTTGAATGGAATACCCAGTATATGAATACGTCATTTGATTCCATATTCTTTTAGCTCTCTGAGGAATTTTAGTTTTCAAATTTCCATTACGTCAATGCCAAGTTATTTCAGAAAAACCTATTTTGCAGACAATATTTTTTTAATTCGCTACCCTCATGTCTACAGCAATTGAGTAGATTTTTTTAGGAATAGTTAGTCAACATCACTATGATAATTTCGGAAATATCTACTTTCGGAAACAATATATGGGGTGCTTGGTAAAACCGGTCGAGTTTCATTCATTTTCAAACAGACATAATTCAACTTTTTCAAATGAAACTCCCTGTATTTTTTCATTTGTATGGAATGTTTCAACATTTCACTACATTTTTTTATAAGAGGTGTACTATACGAAAAACAAATATTGTACAAATTATAACCGGTTTTATTAATTGTTATAACCACAAAAAATTCATTAATGTACGTTTACCTACTCAAAAATTTTTCCATATGAACAATAACGCCTAAATTTTTCATTGAATAGAGTTGTTCAAAAGATGTTCAAAATGACAACTATTTTCTGCCACACATAATGTCAGTCTTTTTTCAAACGAATTATCTACACGTTCCAGCATATCCTCTGGGATTTCCCTGAAAGCTGTAGTGATTCTTCGTTTCATGTCTTCTATAGATGTTGGAGGAGTTTGGTAGTCAATCCGTTTGATATAACCGCATAAAAAATACATTTTGGTCAGGTGATCTGGTTGGCCACACTCGGCTGATTCACCAAATATGCGACAAAATATTTTTAAAAGGTAGTAGTTGTCGATATAGCTGCATAAAAAATTGAGCAGTTTGAGAAATTGTTTCCTCTGATAGCAATGGACCGAGGGAATCTTGTTGACTCACCCTGTATACTATACAGCGTGACTCACGCTCGGTGGTAGGTTAGACGTTTCTGGAAAACGCAACACAGAAGTTTTCTGAAAATTTCACATCTTACATTTCTTTACCTGTTCTATCAATCTAAAATATTTTCAGCATTGCGGCGTTGCCACTTCCATAAAAAGGTCCTAGCAACTTTATTTTTTTAAATGGAACACCCCGTATATTAATACATTTTTGA